TTCTCAGGACAAGGATACAAGAAGGAAACCCTGGTGGGCTGTGGTAACTCCCACAATGCCCCTGAAATGGATCTAGCAAGGCTTAGTTAAGTCCTTCTGCAGAACAGAGCTGAATGAACTGCAATAGTGTACCCAGCGGGCTGATCAAGCCTAGCCTTCAGGCTCCTTCAAGAGAAAATCCCTGTGATTCATGAGTGCTAGACCCTTGGGAAGGGCTCTACTGTCCTCCAGAATGGTCCCCTTTATTCTTCTTAGCAACAGGTAGTAAGTAATTTACCCAGCCATGGACAAAACCTTCCAATCCAGCCAGCCAGCCAGTGAAACCTAAGAAAGTCCAGAAAAGGGCATCGTGGCCTTAGGCAAGCCATGTGACTTCATCCACACGGGGCTTGGGAGGGATAAGAAGCTGAAAGTGGGTGGGGAGCGTCCACACAGACAGTACAGTGGATAACGTGGCTTTCTAATCACCACCACAGGCAGATTTAGCGGTGACAACTTTGGTCCTGGACTTGGAAACTTCAGTGTGATGTGGTCGGGTATTTGGTAAACACTTTCAAACCAGAGTCAAATAAACACTGCAAAGGGAATAATCAACGTGTCTATTACAGACACATTCAGCTTATACTGTGTGTTCACACGTAGGCCTGCCACAGGCAGGGTGCAAACCCAAATGCCACATGGATAAACAAATGACAAGCAATGGATGTACCACAGTGACACTCCTGAGCCACGTCCCTTCAATCTTCCTCCGCCCACAGAAAGAGCAGGGACAAGTACAAAGGGCCCTGGGAGATGCTTCCGAGTCCACCACGGTCTCTAGGGATGCATGACTTCTCCTACAGCCACTGTCCACAGAGAGCAAGCTCTCCTTGCTATGCAAACCATCGTGAGTCTCCAGCTCCACCACTCATGCAAGGACAGCTCAGGGAGAGAGCCTGCCCAGTCCACAACCACAGGCTGAGCTCTGGGCTCTCCCCAACTGCTGGCAGCGCTGACCACAGCACTGGTGTGGGTGGGGGTGGCTGGAGCACTAAGGGAACAGTCACTGCCATCATGGTGAGCAGAAGACACAGACTTCTGAAACCCACCCCACCCAGTCATGCAGCATCACTCAAATCAAGCGTCCCTGGAGGATTCTTTTATTTATCCATTCATTCATCCACACATACATACATACATCATCCATCCATCCATCGATCCATCCATTCATCCTTCCTAGCACTGACACTGCTTGGGTAGGAAACTTACAGAGGGCTTCAGTGGGCATATTACATGAAATTACGTCTCACTAAGTACAAGATAAAAGCCCATCTTTTGCCAAGGTACAGAGAAGTTATGGACTGCAGTGAGGGGGCACCTGTGCTGAACCCCAAAGGGGGCGAGAATTCTCTGAGGCAGAAGGAAGGGTAGTCGAGGAGTCAACGGGAGTCGAGGCTGGCCAGCAGGTTAGCACCACATTGCAGACAGCTTGGGTTGCATTCTCTGAGCAGGAGGGGACCATGAGGTGTCAGGAAGGAGACAGCATAAGTCAAGCTTAGGAAGAAAGAGTTCAGCCACAGAAGGCTGGGAGGCAAAGGTGGGAACGTCAGGATACAGAGGCAAAACGCACTAGCATGAATGAAGACCCAGGGAGGCTCTGGGAATCAAGCCAGAGGGACCGTGAGGCAATGCTCTGGAACTGGGCGCTGGAAACCCAGCAGAGGAACCACTTTGGCGCTCTGTGCCCAGGTTCCACACCTCTAGGAAAAGTCTTGGATTTAGGTCAGCAGCAGCAACTTCTGTCCCTGGAGCCAGCACAGGCTTCGGAGAGACACACAGTGCTCGGTGCTCGCACACTCTGCCTCTGGTAATTCAACCAACCCCACACCCATTTTTTTTTTCTTATGGCATCTTACTGAACACGTGTGGACTTTTATTGTCATTAAGTCCTGTGCCAGTTAGTTTCTTCTGTAAACCTGACAACCTAGACTCACCTGGAAAGAAAGAACCTCAACTAGAGAATTGCCTCCATCAGATTGGCCTGTGGCCAGTGATTGACGTGAGAGAGCCCAGCCCACTGTGGGAAGCGCCATCCCTAGGCAGGCAGGCCTGGGCCATACCAGAAAGCTGGCTAAGCACGAGCCAGAGTGAACAGTAAGCAGCATTCTGCTTGAGTTCCTGTCCTGACTTCTCTCAATGATGGACTGCGACCTGGAGAAGTGTAGGTTGACAAAAACACTTCCCACCACAAGCTGCTTTTGGTCATGGTGTTTGTAAGAGCCACAGGAAAGCAAACTAGAACACACCCTGAAATAATACAGCATGACAATAATTTCCCCCAACATTTACATTGCATTAGGTGTTATGAATAATCTAGAGGTTATTCAAAGTCTCCAGGAAGGTGTATGTAGATGATATGTAAATACTATGCTAGTCTTACATAAGAGACTTTAACTTTAGCACACTCAAATTTTGTTATCCTTATGGGGAGTCCTAAAACCAACTCCCGTTTTCCCAACTCAGAATTCCAGTCACCTCCACAACCCACCTCCAGTCACCACCATGACTGTGGGGCCGGTCTGGATGGCACCAGCACGCTGTGTCTGGTGTCTCTGCCCACCCATCCCTGGATGGAAAGGGCAAAGGGCATCCTACCACCCTACACAGGGTCCCGTCACAAAGATCTCATTGTGGAATGCTCGGCAGCAGCTTGGCTTGCTGATAATAATATGTTCTGCTGGTGATGTGTGCCACCTTCTTTACGCTGGAACAATCCGCTGCATTTTCTTCAGCAGGCAGAGCCTTGCCAGGCAGAAACAGAGCCTCTGGGGCCAGGGAAACCCCATCCAGCATGGAGAGAGGTAAAGATTCACCCACCAGTGCAGGTGACAGGGATTAGAGGAGGTAAGAGGGACAAGAGGGAGAAGGTGTGGGCAGGCTTTGTACCAATTTACCCAACTGCTTGTTTCTACAACAGCCAGAAGCCCTTCAAGTTTGCACTTGAAGACACCCAAAGCCTTTCTTTCTGGCTTCAACATGTAGTCAGGAAGCCAGGGGCCCCTTTAAAGAAGCAGGCACTGAGTTACATGAAGCTATGCCTCTGCCCCTCAGAGCAAGCTTCAGCCACACACTTAAGCCGAGCAGAATATATGTGCACCCAGCAAGGAGAAGAGAGAAAAACAAAAATCCTGATTCCTCACCTGCATCACTGGAGCCCCTCCCCAGGGGAAGGTAGTGGGGCTCCTGGGAATCCTGCCCGTATCAGCAACTATGGCTTTTGCAAGAGTCTTTAGTATTTCTCAAAAACTACCAAAGCAACATAAGAAGGGTGTGACAACCCTGAGCCCACAGTGCTACCTGTTTGCCCACAGTCTTTCTCTTTCCACCTTTTACAATGCTGTGGTTCGAACTCAGGACCTCCCATATGTGAGTTTTACTGCTGAGAGACAGACGGCTCTTCTGTTCTATGAGATCTGTTCATCAAACGTCCTTACTATTGAGCCAAACTGACTGCATTCTGAACCGGCACTAATGTTATCACATTCCATCCCAACAGACAGAGCTAGTCATCTTGCCCACTCCTGTTCCCTGGAAATCTCCTCAGGGCCCTCTATTGACCATCTTAGGTCTCCTGGATCAGCACAAGACACACTGAGATGCCTCCACCCAGGAAAGGAAGGGAGCCGGTAAGTGCTACTCAGACAAAAAAGGGGATCAGGAAGTCCCCAAGCAGCCAACAGAGCAGCAAGCTAAGGTGGGATTTGCATGAAGGGCTCTCCCAAGAACGGCACCCACAAGGCTGGAGCGAGGCACAGCAGCAAAGGACGCTCCTGGAGGGTCTGTCTCATAGGGAATTCCGTCTGACAAGAGAACAGTGTGCTGTCCCTAATGCTTCAGATTGAAGACCAGCATGATAGCAGCACCAGGGAGTCATGTGTGATTTAAAATGCAGGAGACATGGGACATTGCTCCTCTAACTTCAGGAAGACAGATGGGAACCTCCTAGACAGACCCCAAAGTCACAGTCATCACCAAAAAACACCCAAGAATACAGGCTTCAAAAGGCACAAATTGAGGTTCCTTCTGTGCTGATCCAAACCCCCTTCCCAACCCCACTGCTAACTCTCCCCTCATGACACAGAATACTGACTTTTGGTCTTGGATAAAATCCCTTTTCTACCACAGGAACTCTAACGGGCCACTGTGCAACTTCCTGACCTCCACCAAGCCCTGCTCAAAAGGCATGCTGGAATCACACCATTCACAAGCAAACTCTGAACACAGCTGCCCTGTCCAGTGAATACGCTTTAGACTTGATTGAACCCAGGACACAAAACCCCGAGAGTGACGGATGAAAGGGCACCACTGTGGGGGCCAGCAGCTTTCCTGTTTAACAAATAACTTGTATCAGTGCGTCCTGTTCCAAGCATGGTGGTCTAACTCACTAGTGTCCAGCCAGGCTAGAAAAGTGCTCCCTCAATTGAGCTTCATGTCATTGGGATGAAGGTTTCATGCTAACTCTCCATTTGCACCTGAGTGTGGCAACATATGCCTATCATCCAAGCATCTGGAAGGCAGGGATAAGAAGGTCAGTAACTAACCTCAGCCACACAGAGAGATTGAGGCCAGCTGGGCAACTAAGACCTTGTCTGAAAACCAGTCAGACAGAAAACACTTGGTTTATCCTATCTTCATTCTGAGAATTATCCTTGGAATTTTTGTACTCTAATATGAATGGCTTCAAATGTCATATTTTTGCAACCCGGTCACATTTGGAGGTCAGGGAGGGCAAAAGTGCCAGATCATATTAAGCAGCAAGCCCTCCTCTTAGCCCATGTGATTACCCCCAGAAGTTCATCCTCAAGTTCAACTGCAGAAGCAACGTTTAGCAGAAAAATAAAGCTAAGGGGATAAGACAGTTCACTGTGGTGTCATTCAGAGCTAGAGTTACAATCTAGCAACACCCACTCATGTTCACACTGCCCTGGATCCATACTAAGGTCATGGTGTCCAAGCCTTACTGATCATGGTGGTTCCCCCAGCCAGGGCTGCCTTGGTTCCCTGGAAGAAGTCATCAGCTGACGTCATTCCCTGGTCGGGCATCTGGAAACGAGTGTGCACATCAATTCCTCCTGGGATCACCATCCTGGAATGGGCCTCAATGGTCTTCACTCCTCCTGGCACAATCAGGTTTTCTCCTATTTGCCTGAGAAAGCAGAGTTGGTGAGAGATGGACCAATGAAATGCGGAACCAAATCGGATCTGACATATTTTCATCGGGCTATAGACAGACCTTCACTACATGGTGAGCGCTTTTGGAGTTGTTGCAATGATCTTTCATGGGAGCATCCCCCAATCCTCATCCCAAAACATGAGCAGATGTAGAATGAACTAGGAAACTGGGATTAGGGGCTCACATAATCCCAGAAACTTGAGAATCTCACACAAGGATCACCTCTAGTGTCAAGTTCTGTAGCTTTAGCTACAGAGTGAGTTCCTGGCCCACCTAGACTGAAGAACAAGGCCCCTATCTCACACAACACAGTAAATTCCTCATTCAGTGGCGGATTATCAGAAACCCCCTAAGCTTGAATAACAAAACACTCCACTGACACACCATTCAGCTAGTTTTCCAGAACAGTTCACTCTAGACCTGACTCTATTTCCCACCATTTGGTTTCACCATTTTCCTTCGCAGTTCAGGGAAAAGAGGTGGAAAAGTGTACAGAGAGCAAAACAAGGGAAAAAAGAAAAGTAAAAAGTAAACACTATAATTCCAACAATTGTAGAATGTAGAAGCAGGTGCTCATGGATCCAGATAAAGGTAGAAAAACAAATATCCATGCTGTTGGGGACATGTATCATATCCATTGGAGGAGAGGGTGTTGTGACAGCGTTTTTTATTTGTTTTTGAGGTTTTCTGGGCTTTTTTGTTTTGTTTGAGACAGTGTTTCTCTACAAAGTCTTAGCTATCCTGGAACTCACTATATAGTCCAAGCTGGTCTCAAACTCACAGAAATCCACCTGTATTTGCCTCCTGAGCACTAGGATTAAAGGTGTGCGCCACCACACCCAGCTGTAGGAATTTATTTTGGAAACAAGGTCTCATCAGCCAATTATTTTTTTAATTTTGCTACATCTTTCTACCAATTTTTAAAAAGAAAAAATAATCGAGGAGTTAAATTTCTAAGACAAGTAAATTATGACTAAAAATAGCATTGGGCTGCTCCATTTAGGCCAGTGTCCTTCAGTCGGATTCATCATGCTCTCCTACGGTTGGGGATGCTAAAGGAATAAGAAAGTCATAGCCTGTGACTGCCCAGAGCCAAGACTGTTACAAACACACATGGAGAGAGCATTAACTGTGGAAACATTAAGACTCATTCTGGCCTCATCAATCATGGTGTGAGCTTCCAAGTGGTCAGTCAGTCCAGCTTGCCCCTTTCCAGACTCACTTGCTGCTAGAGTTTGATGAGCACTGCTTATTTAAAAGATGTCATTCCCTGGGATGTTTGTCTTTCAACAGATGTGCTCTCTCTCCAGAGCCCATGAGCCGTCCCCAGAGGAAAGGCATGAAGATATTGCTGAATACTCTGCTCAGTTAACCCTCAGAGTCGCAGAATACTCAAACCCAGAAGCCAACACACAAGCAACATGGGGTGACCTTATTTATTCTAGGAACCACTTCAAGAGCGAAGCTTAGTACTGGAGAGATGGCTCAGGGTTTAGGAGCACGTGCTGGTCTTGCAGCAGAAGCTAGTTCAATTCCCAGCACCCACAAGGTGGCTCACAACCATCCATAATTACAGTTTCAGAGGATCCAACGGCCTCTTCTGACTTTCAAGGGCACAGATGTGGTACCATACACACATGGAGGCACAACAGCCACATAAAATAAATCTTAAAGAAAAAAATTTAAAAATGGATGAAGTCTAAAATCCACCCAGCATTAGGCAGTCATTCACTGGGTTGCTGATAATTAACTCAATGTCCTGTGGCTATTTCTAATTAAGCAAGAAGATATACATCTTCATAGAACAGGCTGCATCCTCATTTATGTCCTATGACTGGGTACTCCATCCCAAACAACTACAGTCTAGGAAAACTGCAGTACATTCAGCCTATCACAAACCACGTACATGAGCTGGCAACAAGAGGCTGTTGTGTCACCTTTGTTAAAAATAGTAAATTACATAATACGTGGGTGTTTGTGTGTGCTGTGACTTCGAATTCCCTGAATCTGAATTCCCAAATTCATTAATTACCACCAATAAAAAGGAGCTTAAAATATGCTAAATTGGTCACTTTTGGTTTCTTTGGCAGTGCCTGACTAATGCCAGATGCACATCCTACCAGTGTTGCAACATTCCCGGCCCAAGCTTAATAATTCTTCAAGTCATTAAAGCATGAGATTATTTACATGAAAGAAGATAAAGCTTAGGAACGTGTGTGTGTGTGTGTGTATGTGTGTGTGTGTGTGTGTGTGTGTATGTGTGTGTGTATGTGTGTGTGTGTGTGTGTGTGCACATATATACAACTCTACACAGCAATGAATCATACTTACTTGATCAACCCATCTTCCATGTATATGTCTGCATAAAAGGACTGGTCATCATTCACAATCTTGCCACCTTTGATCAGAAGGCGATCACTCTGTAACAAAGATGGGAACAAGGTCATAACACATAACTGACCTGGGAGAAGCACCTATCCCAAGGGATGGGGGTTAAGGGCATGTTTTCACCATTCAAGAGTGATGCTCAAATCCGAGGGAATTTGGGGAGGTACTTTCACCAAGGTGAATCTATGCTAGGCAGGCTGTTCATCACCTGATGAGTCAGAACACACGGGTAAAGCTCACCCTAAATAAACAAACCATCTTTTCATGAACATCTTAGGCCTGAAAACAAAAATGGGCCATTACAGAACATTCCAGCTAAAGAAGACAATGCTTTTAAAATGATTTTTGGCTAAATCTCATCTTTAAAAAAAAATTCCACCCACATGTAGGAAAGTCATGTCTTGGCAAAGTTTTTGTAGGGGAAAACTGACCAAAAGTCTGTTGTCATAGCATATGTTACCCAAACACAGACTTCAGCCATAACAAGTTTCAGCTTAGTGTGTCCACTCTGTGTTCATTTCTCTCTGGGGTAAATCATAGCAAGTGCAGGGGGGGAGGACTATAAAAACACACCCATTTAGCAGGTAAGAAACAGAGCTTTGTGATAAATTAGAGACATTAGACATTTAAGTCTAATGCCACTACAGATGATTGACCCACTTTTGTGTGAAAAAAACAAAAACCAAAAAACTAAAAACTAAAGGCTAATACAACTGAGAGAGCCAAGAGCATGTAAAAGAAATGCTGTGTTCTGACTCCCAGCTATCCAAAATACCGTGGATGGGATGTATGTGATATCATCATCCTGGGTTGGGTGGATGGGCAGAATAGATATAATCCTTACAAGCAGAGCCTTCCCTTTTATTATGCTACACCTTTCAGAGAACAGCATTCACCTTGGTAACAGTTAACCCAGAACTCTAGTACAAAGCAAAATCTCAGCAAATACTACTTGCGTTTTGCTACTACAAAGAAAAGAGAAAATTTTCCTTAAAATACACACATGATGCCATAGAAGAAAGAAAACAAGATAGTTGCACATTAATGTAAACACTATTGGGTTTAGAAAATATTTATTGTTTTGGTTACAATGAAAACCAAGATCAGTTCAGATTTACACTGCAGGGGGGGGGGTCTTGTATCCAGATGTAGGTAGGCACTGGAAAAGCCCTTGAAAACAGTCAACAAGGAGAGCGTAAACAAAATATCCTTACCAGTCCTGTCCTATACACTATGCCATGGGAACCTTTTTGAAGTGAATAGAGGAAGATTCTACAGTGGTGACACCTAAAGAGACTGAGGCTCAGTGGGCTTCACCCTGCAGGGACCCCTCCTTCTCCCCTGAGAGGAATGTCTATCATCTGGGAGGCAGTAAGTCCTCCTCTTCACTACACCCCCTCCTCACGGAAGTACCTGTCGGAGCCATCATTGAGAATCCCCCAGCCAACGGCTCAGGGGGAAGGGGAGGAGGGGGGAAATCATAGTCTGTTCAATCTAGAGGCTTCTAAAAGGCTTCTTACATAAGAGGCAGTCCACAGTGACAGAGGGAGAGAACCAATATATCCTAGGGCATACGACTAGATATTCTTAAAGGATAGAGGGGGCGCTCTTTTAAAAAATAGTCTTGTTGGTTGCTTATTTCCCCCTCCCCATACTGTCAGAATGAAATTGTCTTATTTGCGCAGGAAGACACAAATCACGAGAGGTTTGCAGGAAGTCTCCCCACCCCCACTGCCTAGCTCCCCAGATGCCGTCCTTCAGTGCAGTGAACATTTTACATTGCGTCCTGTGTGTCAGCCCTTTGGGATCTGATACAGGGGGTGGGAGTGGGGGGCTTGAAAAAAGGCTAGTACCCGCCCTCGACTAAGAACTGCCCAGCCCAAGCTAGAAACCCCAGGCACACACCTCCTCCCCTGGGCAACTGTTCTTACACACTCCTGCAGATGGGTGTGTCCTTGTGCACCAAGGAAAGGAGGCCGAGGTCCCAGGGCCAAAGAGGCAAGCAGAGAAAAAGCTCACCCTCAAATCCGGCCTTAAAGCCCATCTTCACTATTTGGAAGATAACCTTCAAATCTCTGTGCCCCTGGGTCCTAGCCGGCCACACGCTGCCCAGTGCAATCGCACAGCATTATATAACTATGAATTTCCTTGGCGATTCTCCCTGCCCGGGATTTCCTTAGAGGATGTAGAAAACTGGACCGGTGAGATTTCTTTCTTTCTGTCTCTTTCTTTCTCCTCAGTAAAAGATGCAAAAAGAGGGGGAGGGCAGGGGCACCACCCGCTGCATCCCCGAAGCACCGCGAATTCCTCGCACAGATGCTTGGCAGGGATGGAGGCCCTGAACGAGGCCAGCACCTTTGCCGCGGTGATCATTGTCTAGGGCAGGCCGGGCCATCTGAGCGAGCCAGCGCCATTACCTCCGCGAGCTTGCTCGCTGCTGTCCCCAGCGCCCACCCGCCCAGCCCGCTTTGTATGCGCCACCACAACCGCCTCCCTGGTGGCGGAAGGGGCAGGAAAGACGGAGAAAGCGAGCCGGGAGCCCAGCCAAGACCCCAGCCCCAAACCAGAGGGTTCCCCAGGTCCTCCGAGTACACAAAAAGCTCCCGCCTTCTCTGCTCATCATCGAGCCCGGATCCTCCCTTCCCTCCACATCATCCCGGTACACCCTGCCCTTTCCAGCATCCCTCTGCTGTCATGACGCCTCCGGGCTGGAACTCTCTCCTTCTCGCAAGAAGAAGGCTCCAGAAAACTCTTTCTGGAGGGGGGCGGGAAACACGAGAGGATCCGTTTTCCATGCTCCCCACCACCGGAGTCCCGGAGCCCAGCCTTGCCGCACGCAGCCGGAGAACAATATCCGAGCGTCGACCATGCATATTCAATCTGGCATCCATTTGCTTGCACCCCGCGGGCAGCGCTGCAGCATCTCGTACTGACAATGAAGGATACAGCGGATCTGGCGCGCTACCTCCAAGCACTCCCGCGCCTATTTCAATGTTTTGCAAATTGCGTGCCTTATAACTGTTATTACATCCCCCAACCCCCAGCCCTACCTTTACCACCGTAGCCTCCGTTGGCAACAAGGAAAAGTTGATTCTCTTTCTCTCCTCCGCCTTTAAAACACATTCTTTAGCTATTCTATGTCACAAAAGGTTGTTCGCCTTGCGAGTACCAAACTTACCGTGATGCGTGGAATATTTTTCTTCCCCTGATAAGACATCTCTCCTGGGGGCGGGGGGTAATTTCAAGAGGACAGCTTTAAAGCAAAGATAGCCGGGGGGAAAAACAGACTTGGTTTAAAATATACGTATTTTTTGTAAGAAAAAGGTACAATCCCTTAGCTGCTCTTGCTGTTAGGAGATTTCAAAACTATAAGAGACAAATGTAATCTTCTGTCTCTTCTCTCCTCCAACACAGATCCAGCTAGGGCGGAAAAAAAGAAAGAGGGAGAGAGAACAGGAGGGAAGGGGGTGGAAATAAACTACAGCAATAAAAGCCTTGGTTCCAGTCGACCACCACCGCGCATGCGCCACCAGCCACTCCCTTTCCTCCCAGGCAAAAGCCATCCGCTTCGCGAGAGACGTTCACTGATTGGCCAGGATCGTGGGATATGCAAATGAGAAAGGCGGGGCAGGGCTCAGTGCCCGGGCTGCGACCGCTGCAGTGCGCGCAGGGCGCGGTGCGTGCGCCCGAGAGGGGAGCGCGCCTTTCGCGCCCTTTCTCTTGATCCTGGAAGGGCGAGCGGGGCCTGCAGCTGGCAGCGGCCCCAGATGCTGCATCTGCAATGCAGGGCACAATGGAGGGGTGGTCGTACCGGGAGGGTGAGCAGGGGGCGCAAGCCCGCGACCGAGGGGCTTCAGTACGGCCCGGGCGGCACGCACACGCCCGCCCGCGCGCCAATCCGCGGAGGCCGCCGCTACAGCCCCGCGTGGGGTGACTGCGCCGAGCCAATGGCCTCGCTGGCGGCGAGCGCGCGACTGCACCGCGGCCTCCCCCTCCCCGCTTGCCAGGCGCGGCCTCCGCCCTGCAGCGGCTGCTGCGACAGGGGACTGACTGCTGGAGGAACGCAAACAGCATCCGGGAAGGTCGTGGGCTGCTGGGCACCGGACGCCCCACCCCAGAATGGTTTTGGGTTTTTTGTTTTTTGCAACTACAGGCTACCAAGAACAAGAGATGGAGGCCGGAGCCTATGGGGCAAAAGGGAGCCAGTCTTGAGCCCTAGTCGCCCTCTTAGCTGGCACGCCAAGACTGACTCCTTTTGTGTGGGTGCGGCGCCTGCAGATGTGGGAAGGAGACTCTAGCTGCAGGGAGTCCTGAAGCTCCCACAGCCAGAAGCAACGTGATTAGTTTTGAAGGAGGAAGAACAAGAGATTGGAGAGGTTATATCCCACAGGAAGGGGAAACTGAGTCATGGAGTAACACAACCTCTAGTCACTGAGAGCATTCCAGGCCTCCCTTAATGGCCTGCGAGCCTTTGACTGTCAAACCAGTCTGTTGTTCTAACAATAACGGGAAGGGAAGAGCTGGTTGCAATGGACCCGGGGAAGGTTCAGAACTTCTGCTGAGGCATGGCTTTGACCTTTTCACATTGAGATCAAAGGCTGCTCAATCTAGGTCATGGGGCAACCTTTATGGGAGGCTGTTTAATTGGCTCCCACCTGCTCAGCACGATTAGCCAGATAAAGACAGAATTATCCTGGGACTCTGTTCACCTAGTTTGTTTTGTTCTGCTTTCTGCACCTGGCCACTGTAGGGGTCTGTCTTTACAGTCTCAAAGGAGGTGTAAAATTCACCCTTTCAGTTCCTGCCTTAAAATCTTCAGTCCTCGAGGGAGGGGACTGTGAGGCTCCCGGCCAGTTCATTCAAGTTCGATTTAAGCTGTGCATCTATCTTGAAAGCAGAAGCCCAGACCCTGCTTCCTCTTCCAACCATCTGATAATGTCCTAGCAGAGGGGACGAGCTGAGATCCTAAGTACTGTCAGCCAGGAATGGCTAAAAAACTTCAGGCTCAGAAAGTGTATCAGGTGGGTCCTAT